TTGTTCACTACAGTCAATTTCTGGGTAATGTAGCCAGCTTTATTGACTTCCTTCGACAATAATTTTCAACCACACTTCTATACAATAATTTTATATATAAATCGAAAATTTTTCCTAACTTTTTAATCACATATTCACCAACAAAATACTATTATATGCATTTTGACAAAAAAAAAAAGCTCAAACAAGGGCTTAATTGTATATATCATCTAACATTTTAGTATTATATAGATTAGTATTGTAATATCAGTTATGCTAAGATCATATTTGAGCCACATTCTCATTTTCATTTTTATTCTTCTACTCATTTTCAACCACACATTCTTCAATAAAATAATATTTTTCATCATATCAATAACTTTTCCTTCCTTTTCAACCACATATTCACCATTACATCACAAAAAAATGTATTCTCTCTTAAAAAATGTGCATCAAATATGAGCTAAATAATATTGTCCTTATTAATAACTAGTACTACCTCCTTCCCACAAAAATATGTTTGATTTTCTTTTTTTCGTTTGTCCCAAATTATAGGTCAATATCCTTATTGAAAGTATAAATATTTTTTATTTTTCTAATATGTTCCTATTTAAAATATAAACTAATTATGAGGCTATATTATGAAAAATGTAATAAAAATTTATATTTTCAATAATATTAATTACATTTTCTTAATATGTGTGAAAGTAGAAATTAGACTATCTTCGGAGATTGTAATTTTTACTCCTTCAATGCGTTTGTTAAATGTTCAATCACACCTCACTGTTCATGTTGATGATCTGGAATAGTCGCGACTTATTTAAACATAAATTTAATAAATCAATTACAGATGCCCGTGTTTATTTTTTGAATTTTTTTTTAGAAAATTCTAGAAAACGTTTTGAAAACTTCAAAAAGGTTTTCTAATTTTTTTTTCCTTAATTAAAATTCGAAAATTTCTATGAAACTTCAGGGAAGCTCTAGAGAACATTCTGACCGAAATATTTCAAAACTTGAATTAAGAATTGAACGTTATTATGGATTTTTTTTTGTGGGTTTAAACTAAAAGTTAACTTAGGTTGGGGCTTCAACTAAAAATAAATATAATTTATGACTAAATTCTTATATGGCAAAAAGAGTAAAGTGTATTATATTTGTAGAGGCAGCGATGAGGGTGTGGGAGTCAGCGGGCT